GCCACACTGGGTAAGAGTCAGCTTCTGAATACGGTTACTTGAAATATCACCTGTATTCACACTGACTTTTTCAGAGCACATTTTGCAAGCACATTTATTCCACTATATTTTTTCCTGATATCCCACGAAATGGTCCAGATTGCATCTATATTGCTTTCCAAAATTTGGTCCATTGCCAACTCAAATCCACAAGTCCATGCTCAAGCACAAGCTTGAGGCTTGGGTTGGAGTAGAATGGATGACCTAACAAGTAAACTGAGCTAATATGCTTTCTGCCTAAGGATCCTCTCACCTTAAGCATAGCATTTGGCTTAAATATACCACAGGTCACCAAAGGCCCATCATATCAGCCTGGACCCTTTGGTGTTCCATCCACCCTTGTGACAACAGTACTCAGACAGTCAGAGTGTTGCACAGTAAGAAACATCATTTGTGTTCAGTCTCAGTCAGTCTTTGCTCAGTAATGCCTTTATAGCACTGTGCAGGCGTTACACCAGTCCTGCATCCTACTTCTCACAGGGTGCTTGTACAAAGTTCAGGCAGGTTTAAGACTGAGCTGGAACCCGATCTTGGCTCAGCCTTATAAAAGGCACTGCAGGTATAGTATAAGCATAAATAATGTGAAAAACTTGGCTTATTTCTCAATTAAATTAGAAGCACATTACACACGGTTTTCTTATTCCTCTCCATTAGGGTGTATTGCATCTGTTTTAATTTGTTGAAACCTACAAATCTGCTATCATTTGGCACAGTTTTCAAAACAAAATACATTTCTGAGTTGTTAAGGGAAAAAGTGTTGAGCTAAAAATAACACAAAAACTAAGATTTGATTCATCTCCCTAACCACTCAAAAAGAAAATTCACTTTCATATGCATTGCTTTTCAATGGAAGTAATCAAAGATCCACTTCATCATTTTGGTGGTGCATCTGATCCAAAAGGACCAAATTACAACTTATTGAAAGAAAATTCTTTAACATGCAGTTGATAGATATATGTATGTAACTTACTATTCCGTGAAAGATTATTCATAACTTCCTTTTCCCATATTTGGCTTCAAATAGAAATATTTGCTTTGGTCCTTTCTTTATAACAAATCATCTACTGCATTCTTTATTAATCAAACTGTATTTCTCATTTCCAGTAATCCATCTATTACCAGTATTTTAAAAAGTGAGGAAAAATCTGAATGCAACTGAGGTTCCTTAGTAACTGTTGTTTTTTTCAACTACAGTCTACCAAAAAAGATTTTCTAGTGGAAAAAAAAGGGAAATAAAAGCAGAAAACTGTGAAGTTCAGATTATCAGATTTTAAACCCAAAAAGAACTAACACCATCACTCAACAAGGGACAAGAGCTTCCCTTAAACTGCATTTGTGAAGCAAAATCACTTTGATAATCCCCAATATGAAAATTTACTGGATCTATTACTAGCAATGGAAGTAAACTCAGAGCTTAACATCTGCCCCATACTGGGTTAGGCAACATTCAAAATGCCACATATCTGCCACCGTCTCTACTAGAAGGGAAGTTCAACTGATAATGTTCAACCTGTGAAATATAATTACCATTTATTACTGGAAGAGTGATTTTTATAGTCATCAATGACTCTAATAACCTCTTTCTTTTGAAAAGACATTTAAAAAGTGCTGTCACCCAAAATATTTCCACCTGCTTATAAAAATCTTTAGAGAAGATACAATTTCTTTTAGGTCAGAAAGAAAATATAAAAGAAAGATCTGAAGGAAAAAAACGGTGTGATAAACTATTGTTCAAGGAATGCAGTAAGTTTTGATCATGCAGTTTGAAATTTTCATGTTCTGTTGTGCATGTAAGTTATCCATCTGTCTCCCATTTTTTTAAAAGAGCACGTAACATGGTCCCTGAGTTGTGGATGAGAGTGGTGCTAAATGATGAAATTGGAAATACAATGACACCACCCATTTCCTAAGCCTTATGTAACAGATTAAATGCTTTAACTCCACACAGCCAACAACAGAATTAATATTCCATTTTAAAGATTAAACAAACAGTTCTACACTGTCCAGAATAAAAAAATAACAAGCAGAAGAAAAATTACAACAGACCGTATTATATAAGTCATATCACTCTATCAGTGGTCTACAAAAACTGATTACAGCTGGTTTCAATTTTTAAATGTGAAGGTAAAAATCTTTTAAATGTCTGTCCGTTTGACATTCAAGAGAGCTTAAGCTAAAGAAAATCTACAGTGAACGGGAAAGGTTTGACCTCTCTTCATTTTGATTAGTTTGATGATGAACTATACATGATGAGGGTACCACTAACTCACAACCCATCAGCAGGTAATTCATAAGGAGGTCAAAGAAAGGAAAAGGCCATAAAATCATGCATAATTTAGCAATTTCATAAATAAACAATTCTTCAGATAATAAAAAAAGAGCACTGAAATAGGCACAGGGAAAAGGAGAAAGGGAACAAAAATACCACCAACACCATCTTGCAAGAAAACTTTGACTTTGTGTACACACAGGAAACTGGGAAAATTATTCCCCAGTTTGCATTAACCACCATGATACTCGTGCATGGAAACACAGACACACAGATATTTACATTTAGCACATTACACTTGATCCACTTACGTAGATGATGATACTGCAAAAATAAATTAAGTAAATAAGAAAAAAAGAATAAGAGGGAAAAAAACGCAAGATTATTCAATCACCTTGGATTTCACAACTTAACTTTACAGAAACATAGAATCATAGAATCATAGGGGTTGGAAGGGACCTCGAAAGATCATCTAGTCCAACCCCCCATCAGCTACAATCGTCTAATCAGGCCCTATATAGTTATTCTTGAATTCTGTAATAATCAAAGAATTTCTCTCTACTGTGTCTTGCAGGGTTTTTTTCTATTGTAGTGTGGTAAACTAACACATCTAAAAAGTATTACCAGCAATTCAAATTACTGAAGAACAGAAAAGCAGCAATTGTTGTTTTGATCATCCCATATTTTTATTTAATTGACATATTTTAACTTAAAGAAAAACTGTAATTCCAAACAGATTTCTAGTAATACTTTAATCTATAATACTAGAAAAAAGTAATATGCAACATGCTACAACATCTAGAAATATTGTTTATAACTATAAACATTCATTTGTAAACATCAGAGACTAATCATGAATAAACAAAATTTAAATGCAGAACTATTTTCAACTTGTTTCATACATGTTAAGTGTGATGCATCTATTCCAGTATCAGCACAGATCTTGCAAGTGCAAAGTCTCATCATGCTAGATATTAAACAAGATAAGAAGATAGTTAAGGAGAGTAGAGATGGAGTCAAATGTTTTACTGGGTTAACTGCTCTTAGTTGGTGATACTCTGAATTTCCTTTCCAAAGGAGTTTATTTTTTCAGCCCAAATATCATTGGGTGAGAAGCACAGGATTTTTTACAGTGTAATGTGACACTGCAACTGCAAAACTTTAGATACCAGAACAAAGCTAGAATTCTGGTTGCTAGCACATTGGCTAAACATACACTACATAAGCATGCAAGAGCAGTTATTTTTATAGAATAGCAATGTGTTAAGTAGTCAACAGAAAATAAAATGCAATTAATCGAGACAAAGCAATCTCAATAGCACTCAAAATAAAATCACTTAACTCTAGGATTACCTGAAAAGGTCAGTGATAAAGTTAAAATTACCGATGTAACTCTTTAATACTAATTTTACATAATTTAGATTGTTTAATTTTGATTTTATTCTGGACTATTCTGTAAGATCTGGGGATAATTTAACATATAGAACATTAGGTAATTACAAGCAAATACCAGTATCTGTTAGGTCTATTTCTTGTGAAGGTTCCCTCCCTTTTCTTCTACACATTTTCAAGAGGAAAATTGACATCATTTTACATCTAAGCCTGAACTGAAATTACACATACAATTTCTAGAATTACACATACAATTTCTAGAATTATGCACTGAAGTGCCATTTGTCCCTTTAGAAATCATTCCACTGTCTGAAACCACAGAACTGTTTGCATACTGAAAAAGACCTTAATATTCCTTCTTTTTCTCTTTTCCAAGACAAAGGTATCTGTTCTGCTTCATCCTTTTGTCATCTTCACCATACTATGCCAAATTTGGGGGTTTAATTTAGGACATGGGTAGGTCCTGACAATTTTAAATTTTGGTCACATAGATTTACAACTCGTTCTCCATGCTCAGGTGAGAGCTTGTTCTTAAACCCATTCTTGCAGCTTAGAACACAAAACGATGATCTATTATTTTTGCATTATTATCTGCCTCTTCAACTTGGCAAACTGTAGTAAATTTAAGTGGAAGCAACCTCAACTTTTTACTCGCAGACTGAATCATGTTCTTCTCAAATTTCAGTTCCTGGAGTAGGTCTCATGCTGCAATAAATGGATCTTGCATAAGGGCTAACCCCTACCATGTGAGTGACAGGGAACAGGAAACTTTATGAAGAGGTATAGAAGGAAGTTCATGTAAGAAAAGTGGGACCTAGTTAGCAAACACAAGCACTTAGTAGCCATCTTAGAATTCTTATTTCCTAGATGATCCAGGCGACATAATTACCATCCCTGTATTCATTTTTATATGGGGGTGGGGGGAGAATGAATGTAGTCTCTTTTATCCTTCCATAACCAATATGGCTGTGGTGTTTTGCCTAGAAATTGCTCTTCTCTGTCCTTCGCTTCACCCAGAACACAATCAATTCTTTCTAGACACTAACAAATAAGGAACAATCTATAACTCATAAAAAAAAAATTACATGTGGTGTTCTATTTTTAAACAACTCTGGCTAGGTTGCACAATCAAGGTAATTATACTACTGAGGAGAATAAAATGTGCATGGAATATATAAAAATGAAGCTAAGTTATGGATTTTTCACACGTTGGACTTTTTAATTATAGGTCTGAGAAATCTGTAAATAGAACCCAAGTCGTATGACAACTGGTGTCTTTTCACATGGAATCAATCTGTTCTCAAATGTTGATTGCTTGTTTATAGTCTTCAACAGCCTCTTTATTGAAACCCAGTTTACCACTAATATCAGCTCTAAATTTATACATCAAGGCATCATTAGGCTGAATTGACAACGCTATAAAAATAAACAGAACGTTAGGCTTGGGGTTTTTTTAACATTACCATATGATTATAAAGAGAAGAAAAACAACCTTTTGTCAGTGCTCAAATTCTTCTCCAGATATACTTTCACAGAAAAAAACACACTATGCAAATCAACTTTACATCAAGCACTAGGCAACTGTGTCACGTTAATTACACTCTGGATCTCTTTTTTTCCCCCCCCTCTTTTTCATGCTATTTATAAATCCCACCTTAAAGGATATTATTATTTTTTAAAAATATTCTAAAAGATATTAATCCTTTCAGAAAAGAAAAATAAATCTGTGCAATAAAACACTGTCAAATCAAAGACACATTACTAAATTTTGTTTCAGTAAAATTATTAAAAACTAAACATAGCTTTAGTTACTGGAAGAAGTTTGCCTGTGTATCCAGAGTTGCTGAATCTCATATTAGCAGCAAAGACAAGCAGCAATGGACTAATATAACCCAGTTGTTTTGAACCTGAACAAATGTTTTAGCTTTCACTAAGACAAAACTGGAAGTTTGACTCAATTCCTTTACTCTATGAACTATGTCTATTCCCAACAGAAAAGCTTATGCAAGCCAAATACTGTTTCAAAACCTGCTCTGCAAAGATGTTCATTAAATTTTGTGTTGATATATGAAATAAGCTACTTGAATGCTATTTTCTAGGCAAATAGATATCTCAACACACACTTTTTTTTTTTTTTCAGACTTGCTAATATAGTACTTTCCTAGAACTTTGTGCCACAGTTTCATTTAGAAAGGGGCTCTGTTCAGCATGCTTACATTATAAGAAACAGTTTCTCTTCTAATTTACATATTCTTTCAATTTGGACAATGGGAAAAAAAATCAATTCATTACTATGCTGGCTCTAACTTCCTTGTTTTAGTCACATCACAATAGCAGATCAAATTAAGTACAAAATATACTATCAAAAATACATACATACTTTCTGAATCATAAAGCCAAGTAATTTGTCACAATTGTTAGTATGCTATCAAATAATCATGACAGGAAAATAGAGATTACCTGTTGAAATGCCTTTCTCAGCTAGTTCGTATTGCTTCAATCCATTATAGAAATGTGCCCTGTTAAAATATACTGCTGCAGAGAACGGGCAGAGACAAATTGCCTTCTCAAAGTCTTCTCTGGCTTCTTCAATATTGTTTAGTAATGTATTTGTAATAGCACGATTCATAACAGCAGATTCATTTCCTGGATCAAGTTGTAATACCTTGGAATAATAGCAACAGGCCTACAAAACACATGAATTGAAGACCAAGTAGACAGTTAAAATTTGACAAAATCACTTATGTACAACTTGCAGATTCCAGTTTCTTTAAGCTGCTAGTATTCTGAAGTCTTTACTCATTCTGCTCAGTGTTCTTCCTGCACAGAGAAGAGACACAGCACCAGCACACTCATCCACAAGTAGGTTGATCACCCACCCATCCAGACAGACTTTTGAAAACTGACAACTGTTTACGCTGAATTGTAATTATAGCAGAAGAAATAAGCTACACACTAAGGGAAATTTGAATTAACACAGAAAAGAGTTTACAATACAACACCTGTTCTTGAACTTCTTTCTTCATAATTAGACAGCCTCTGTGAGACAGTAAGGAGTCACAGAAAAACAGTAAAAAAGAACAGCCTAGGCAAGACCCATTGTGGAAGAACAATACCAGACACATAAGAGATTACACGATCGCAGAAGAAGCCATATGCAAGGCGCTGACCTTGGGCTCCTACGGAATTTCTGATCCAAGCCTAACTAATGCTCAAGTGCAACAAGGAATCTAACTCTGAGAAACATGTAAGAACATTAATTTTCTTTTTCTTACATGATTTGTGTCTTGTGCTGCATGAAGTAAAATCTAGGTTTAAAATCATATGCCAAGCCTGTACTATAGATGATGAATTCCTTAATGCGTTAGCTGCAAGCTGAATTCTTTACAGATGAATGAATTCTCTCCTAGAGCTGCGAAGTAGATGAAATGTACTGAAGCATCCATGGTTCTGGGTTGCCACAGCTGCTGGACCACAAAGTTCCAATCAAAGAAAAGCTTGAGCCTGTGCCCAGGAAATGTGACTGGAAGACCAATGGAAAAAATCACTTCAGGGGCCTACTCACATAGAGAAAAAGAAGTGGTCCTTGCTTTCAAGCAGATTTCAAATTCTCTCACAAGAGGAATTTCATACCCAGCTCTTCTGTATTTGGAGATACCCACTGTATTTTAGCAGAATTAGGTGATTTAAAACTCCAAAGCTACTGTGGTAACAAGAGGAAGATCTGACTTCTTGATTAAAGCTCACCAGCAGGAGATTCTTTTCATTCTCCTTGTCATGGTGCTATAGTGAATCTGGGCAAGTTACTTAATGTACAGGAGTTCAGCTGGGCAGGAGGGGGAAGTTACTGAACATCAGTAAGATTTTAGTATCTCAATTATTTACCGTTTTTTGTGATGTGCACCCTAGCTGTCCAGAATCTTATTTCATCCATATCAACGATAAAATACATAGTAATATGGCAGTTATTAATTACTACAGATTAATTAATCTCCTAGTAGAGGACCATGAGATGTAAGAAAGCTTCATGTTAATTGCACTTCAAGACAGCTTTATAAGAACAGTATTTATTCAAGGGATAAAGTTCTGAAGACAGTATAAAGACAGACTGTAGACTTACCTGTGAAAACTGTCGATTCTGGAAGTAGACATTTGCTGCACTGAAATAGGCTAATGCATAGTTTGGGTCAACAGAAATTGCTTTTTGATAGTCCTTCATGGCACAGGGTAGATGTCCCATTAACTGATTGATGACATCTCAGTTTGTCAGCAGTGGAACAGTGGTAGTGAGCTAAAAGGTAAGCACAGATGCATTCTTACTCAGGGAAAATTTTCACTTTTACAGTAACTTAATCTGGTTTTCAAAGATACATTTTCTTTAAAAAAAAAATTAATTGCACCTTTTAATCCAAATTAGCAAGTATTATTGTATAGCATTAGTTGGCTTCACAGCAACAGGTTGATTTTGGTAAAATCACTTTACCCTACCTTTAGTGCAGCATTTTTATCTTGAAATGCAGCAAAGGTTTCACCCATTTGAAGACAGACTGAAGCTCGTCCATCATACGTAGCATGGCATTTTGGATCAATGCAAATGGCAGCTGTAAATTGTCCCCATGCTCTCTGAAGCTTTCCAAGTGCCCAAAATGAATTGTGTTTCTTATTGTGGACACATTACAAGAAAAGCCAAACACACTTGTGGTCCCACTTTAAAAAAATTACAGCAGAGAATGGAAACATGCTTATATTTGCAAACACAGTTAACTAAATTACAGAAAAAAAAAATGTCAAATATCTTGTTAATTTTCCAGTACTTTGTTAATTACGCAATACTCACTGTCTTTGCAAGTATGTAACGTATCGGTCACAACTGGCTTAACTGCATCTTCTACTACTAACTCTTCCACATCACAGAACCACAGAATGGTTGAGCTTGGAAAGGATCTCTAGAGATTATCTAGGCCACTGCCCTGGCTCAAAGCAGGGTCATCTGGAGCAGGTTGCCCAGCACCATGTACAGTTAGATTTTGAATATCTTTAAGGATAGAGACTCCATAACCTCTGTATGCAGCCTGTTCCAGTGTTTGATCATCCTCACAATAAAAAAAAAGTTTTCTGATGTTTAGACAGAATCTGCTATTTCAGTCTGTCCCCGTTGCCTCCTGTCAGACCACTGTGTAGCGTTAAGATGACCCTGGCTCCACTTTATTTATGCTCCTCCATCAGATATTTATAGCTTTTGGAAGATTCCCCCTTAAGCCTTCATCCCTCTCTCCCTTCTTGTATGACAGATGCTTCAAACCCTAAATAATCTTAGTAGCCCTCCACTGTATAAGCACCAATATGTTCCTGAGTCTCTTGTAATGGAGAGCCCAGAGCTGGACACAGTACTCCAGATGTGGCCTCACCAGTACTGTGTAGAGTAGAAGGATCATCTACCTCTACCTCCTGGCAATGTTGCTCCTAGCATAGCCCAGGGTATCACTGGCAGTCTTTATTGCAAGACCACATCACTGACACCTTCAGCTTGTTGTCCATCAGGACCCCCAGGTCAACTCACAGCTTGTAGTGGTGTAGTGTTGTATGAGGTTATTCCTTCCTAGATGCAGAATTTCTCACTTTCCCTTGCTGTACTCTATGAAGTTCATGTCTGTTATTGCTCCAGGCTGTTCAGCCCATCATCCTTCTAAATGGCAGTGCAATCACTCCTCTCAGTTTTGTATAATTTGTAAAGTTGCTGGAAGTACACTATCAGGTTGTTAATTAATACGTTAAACAGTGTTCAAACAATTACTGACCCCTGAGGGTACTTCACTACTGACTGGCTTCCAGACAGACTTTATGGCACTAAAAATGACCCTGACAGTTCAACTAGTTTTCATTCCACCTCAGTGTCCACTTATCTAGAGTGTACTTCTCCAGGTTTTCTATGAAGACCTTATGAAAGACTACTGAAAGTTTTACTAAACTCAAGATAAATAACATTAACTGCTCCCCCTCTCATTCATCAAGCTAGTAATTTCATCCTAGAAGGCTACCAGGTTGATTAAGCATAATTTCTCTTTCATAAACTCATGCTGACTACTCCAAATCATCACCTTCTCCATGCGTTTAAAAACAGTTCCCACAATTATTGGCTTCATCACCTTTCTAGGGTCAAAGTGAAGCTGAACCTGACTGTAGTCCCCCAGGTCCCACTTCTTGCCATTCTTAAAGATTGAAGTGACATTTACTTCCTTCAGGTCTTTAGGAAGTTTTCAGACATCATTATAGATAAGGCCTTTACCAAGGGATTTTATCAGATTTGCTAACAATGTACTTAGGATAACTAGGACATACAAGGTTTTGTTTTACACAGATTTGTCAACACTTTGGCTGCTTTTTACTTCAGTAAACAGCTCATACACACAAAACATGCCAATTCTTAATGTTAGCTTATCAGAGAACCACATATGCAAATCAAACTACTGCAAAGTTACTTGATATTCCATTATTCAAGAGCACAACTCCAAGAAGATTGGGCACAAAAGTGAAAAGAAAATAAAATAATGGTCTACTAATTTACTTTAAAAAAAAAATGATGTCATAAGCCTTGTCTAAAGTACATAGATTATTTTATGTTTATTATTATTATTTTAGGTATTACCTAAATATATGCATATGAGATTGATATTATTTGTTTGATTAAACATAGTACTGACAACTAATTTTGGTGTGTTACCTGCAAATTGTATCCTAAGCTAATTCTGGCTTTTATACACTTTGGATTCAGGTGAATTGCTCTCAAGAAATCTTTTTGTGCTTGTTTACAATCAGCCTTATGTCCATTTTCCATGTATGAGTTTCCTCATGCAACATAGGCATCCACAGAAATAGGATCTAATTTGAGAACTTGGTCAAATGATGTCACAGCTTCTTCAAATTCATGAAGTCTAAGAATAGAGATGCTAATGTTTGCCATTTAAAAATTCCATAAATAAAATTCTCAATTTATGAATTATCAGCAAATACTATCCCATAGTGCTCACTGAAAGTAGTTCAGTTCTGACTGAAAGGGACACTTTTTTTGTTCCCTTAAGTTTGCTTTTGGTATGTACTCCCTGATGGTTATAACAGTGACAGCAGTTAGTGTAAGACCTTCCAGACTTCAGTTTGTATTCCTTGGCCTCAGAGAGAAAACAGCAAAACTCTCATTAACATTTGCTGGGCCAAGATTTCACCTTTTCAACAGCTGTACTCAACAGAAAGACTTTATCTGAGACATTCGTGCTGTCCAAATGTCACGACCAAACATGGGTTTGGTAGTCTATTCAGGCACAGGTGTATTAGAAGCAAATTATTTATGGAAGAAACAAGCCTTCTCTCTCTTTTTTTCTCATACCAACTCTTGAACTTATCCAAACTATGCTAAACTTGCAGGGTAAAAACAGATGACACGCAGGGATCTAAGCACAGGCCATTCTGGTTTGAGAGTAAGCCAAATGTGAAACTCCATTCTTAAAAAAAACTTGATGCACCAGGTATACCAATGCATAAAAATCAAGGAATAAAATGGATTAACTACCTGAAATACCAATGAATGCTAGTAAGTATCTTTACACATAAAGCAAAAACTTTAACTGACCAAAGGACAAAATCATTTTACTCAGATGATACTGAAAGCTAAGATGTTATTTCAATATAAGCTGCCTGTGCCTGCCTGAAGCACAGCCTCATTACCAGAAGAGGAAAGATGAAATATATTTAGCTAGCAAATAACTTTAAGAGTTTTAAATCAAATGCTTTTTAAAAGCACACTTGTTGCAAAAACATGAGGGCTTCATTCCAATCTTGTGGATAGACAGTCAAAGTTAGAGACTGCAGGATGGAGCTAAATGCACCTTAAAATGGGTTATACAGCTGATATACAGTTACTAGGGTATCCTTTTGACAGTTGGATGCAGATAAGGGCATCAAAATCATATGCATGGTTCTCAGAAGCAGGATTCAGCATTCCTGTGAGTTCTACATTACCCAGACACTGTGAAAGATGGAGCCAGTTAAGCCCTAACTGCGGGCATAGCAACACAAGAAGTTCTGACGTTATTAATACGTCTGAAAACCTGAATATGTCCACCTCCATAATGCCTCAGCAACAAGGTTAAGACGTGAAAGATGGCAAAGTAAATTCATAATAAAACAGATTATACCAAACTAATAGGCAGATAGCTATTAAAATTCCCTATTTATCATGGGTAATACTTGTGTGAAATATCAACTGGAAGTACCACTATGATAAGTAGACTAAGACGTTAATTTACATCTTATTTCTTCCAATGTATATGTATTTTAAGTGATACACAGACTTAATTTAGTCTTTCCAAATAAAACTCATCTTTTTGAAACTACACTTTAGAATTTCCAAATAAAAATTCAGGCAAGGAAGATTATTGAGACTTTTGTTTTTCTTTAAAGGACAAAGCACATATTCAAAAAGAAACTGCATCCTAACTAATTCTCAACAAACCAATCCAACTCTGTTTATCTTGATATTTTCTCCAGTCATCCTCTTGTTTCTGTTTTATCATCCTAGTATTTCCTCCTGACACTGTCATGAACACATAGTTGCTTGATATCAGAAGACTTTAACAGCTGTTGTTAAAGTTGAAAAATACCTGATTTTCCTTTTTCCATTTCTCTTTACCATTTTCCCCTCCCCTAGTTTTCAGTGAACTCAATATGACAAGGTGAGCAGGTACATAAGCTCAGAAATTGTTTCAGTTTTCTACTTTCCATCATACATAACTACAGATCTTACCTATGATAGCAGACTCCAATAGCTTGAAAGATCTGGCTGTCATCTGGACTATGCAACATTGCTTGTTTAAAGTCCTGAACAGATATTAAACCATGCAAATTGATATAACTTTACATTACCTAGAACTGTGGTTTTAGCCAACTCTATACTTCAGGATAACAAGGGAGATGACTCCTGACAAAGGCACTACATTCAGAAATGCTGCAGATGTATTTAACTATTTTCATACTTCCTGTCACAGACTTTGATGCAATAAAATCTCCAGTTATGTGGTATCATGGCATTTCCTACAAAGCTGAAGGCAACACCTCCAGAAACAAAAACTTCCAGAAAGATACTTTGTTTAATAAAAATACTGTATGTCAGCTGCCATTAAGTGTGTATATATATATATATATATTGAAAAATATAGTATGCTATATGCAATTTCAATAGAATTTGCCCAGCAATTAAATCATCTAGTGACTTTCTGTTTTTAATTTGACAAATGTAGTAAACCAAACTCATATTTGCATTAGGAGACTCTATGCATGATGTTCCAGTGAAAGACTTCATACAGCTTTTGACTTTTGCCTTTGACAAACATTCAGAAAATTTTTCAAAATGTTTTATAATTAGGTAGTTTTGATATAAGTTTAGTCGTAAAAACTGTACAAGTGCTTTTAAAATTAAATACAATAATTTCAATTATGATGTAAGGAAGCACTTTAGGCTTCTGCACAGGAAAGCAATCAGTATGAGGTAAGAGTGGTTTAACTGATGCATCCACTGAATTACAATTTAGGAATCACTTTTACGTGTTCAAACTGTAAAAATAAAAAGATGGAATATTGTAGTACTGTTGGAATTACCAAAGTGGTAAAATAATGATGTGTACATGTACATATCTACATTTTGTTAAAATAAAATCCTCCTTTGGTGAACATGCTATCATAAAATTATAGATCTGTTTTTAAAAAACTGAGATACACTGTTCTCATCCAGCAAAGCTAATGGGATTCTTCAAGTGCACAATTTGAAGCATCCTGCTCTGTGAATGGAGCAGAGCAAAGGCAGGGTCAAAGTTCCAAGAACCAGATTTGGTTTATCTAAACCAAAGGTGCTATCCTCGCAGGTAACTGAACACTTGACAGAATCAACAGGGAAAGACACCTCTATGGAGCAATTCAGACTTTATATAGACTGAAATGTAACTTGTTTTTCATCCAGTGTACCAAATTCAGGAATACATTCTCTTCAAGCAGTATGTATCTGTGCTTTAGTAATTATATCTTAATTCAACCAGCACTATACATGTATACTCTATCAGAACTGCTACATAAGGTGTCAATCATATTTCTTTTAAATTAGCTCTTAGATTTTTGTATCTGTTTTTCAGTTAACATTTTATAAATTTGCCTTTACTATAATCCATTCAAACAACTTTTTGCTCATCTTGCTGGTTCTGCCTCAGTATTTCTACTGGCCTTACTTATCAGTTTGTGCTATTTCAGCATCTTTTCTGAACTATTTTGATTAACTGCATCTTGGAGCATAACAGACCAAACCCCCAATATTTCTATTTATTTTTACACAAGCTTCACCAACTCTAAAGAGGTTTTGTTATGCACTTACAACAGGACATTTCTAGGTCACTGGAATGGGATTTATATTCATTCTTCATTTTTTATTTGCAAATAAGAAATATTACCCAATTTTTTCAGAATGACTATATTGAAATTCTTGGTATCACATCAATAAAACAGCGCAGTTTAAATTTACTTATCCACAATAGAAACAATAAATGCACAAGTTATACTGAAAATAATTACCCCACTTTTAAAAAAACTAGAACCTTTTCAAAACTTAAAAACTATTTAAAAATTAAAAAATAAAAACTTGTGCATGTCAAAGAGTAATATTTAACACTGTTAGATTTCAAGCCTGCTATTGCTATAGCAGACGGAGTCTCATTAAATGAGTCATCAGCACTGTGAGTCAGTTTCAGGAACACACACTATTTTCTTATATTTGAGAAAATTATCTTGAATATCATCTGCTTCTTGTCCTTTAAACAAAAATGGTCATTTACACACACACAGACACACACCCCCGGAACAAAACAAGCCCACTCAGTCAGAAGCTCCATTCACTTAGGTTTCTGCAAAGAATCAATACTCATCTGGACACAACAAATTACTTCAATAATAAAAAAGGAAAAACTCTGGTTCTGGCTTATTAAATTTTGTGTAATTTCTGTGTTCAACTCTAGTAGCATGCAACTGTAAAACAAGTAAAACTGCATTTCATTTGCATCTTCACAGCCAGATTGGCATTAGGTGTTGAGCAGAGGAGAGCGAAGCACAAACGATTTGAAAAGAGTATAAAATCTGTCAAGCTGGTCTTATATATCATCAATGGTTTACATTTAACAGAAAACTCTAAATTTCTATTACTCAAAGGAGGATTTTGTACCTTGCATGCATTAGCATAATCATCAAGTTCCATGTACAGCAGTCCACGATTAATTAACACTTTAAAAGCTATTTCCTTACTAAATTCAAGCAAAAGAATAATTCCATAATCTTTCAAAGCCTACAAAAATATAAAACTTATTTTAAACCATTGTCTATTCAGAAAGATACAATTACAATGGAAAATTTTAAACACAAGCTTTCAAATTCCTACAAGTCATGTGCATCTGCACAGACTTCAGTGAGGCTGAATTTGGAGCCTTCTATAATTACATAGACACCCATTCCTAGAGCATAATATAAAATAATGCATCTCTATTGAATAGACATAATTGAAACTTATTTTTTCAATATATCATTTTCAGGGTTAGAAATAAATTTTAATTACTTCTACTACTAGATTTTACATCCAAATTCTTAATAGAAAACCCAACAAATTATTCTCCATTATTTAGTCATGAATTAATGTCAAAGTAAGATACTTTTAAAATTAAGTATCTTCAAATATAATTTTTTATTACCGAAAATTTAAGCACTATTAAGTATTAACTGAATTTGGGTGTAAATTTGTAAAAGAGCAAACAGTTGCACGACGAGGTGGACAGAAGAAGCCTCAATTATCAAATTTATCAAAACTGAACAGTATTCCAACAATACTTGATCTGAAGGAGGTCTAGCTCAACTCTTTTTCAACCTGAAAAATGAACCTATGTAGTATATTTAAGAATAACTAGACAGTTTAAGAGCTAATATGACAAAAATGTCCTTGATGTCAGTATTCCATATAGTGGTCACTTAAGAGTTCTGTTCTTCATCGTGTCTAAACTAAGCCAGATATTAGAAACAGCTTTAAAGAAAACAATCCCATTCCTCCTACATCTAGTTAATTTCTTCCATCAGTAATATACTATGTTTTTCCTGCAACTTCCCTTGTACTTCAACTGGCTTTTCTGGAGAGTGATAGCAAAGAACAACTTTTATAATACCCTATTTATGAAGGTACTGTCATTTTCACATCTTAAGCTTTTACCTTCAGTTACTGTAATCATCTATTTTTCTTTACCCGTCTGCATTATTCCTGGGCAATTAATCTCCAAGCACAAATGGCCTTCGCTCAAGGTTGATTTGACTTGAGACACCCAAGCTCAAATACTTAGGAATTAGCCCTGTCCCAGAAAATAGGCCTCATCAAAAAGACAGTTCAACATGATTGTGCTGCCTGTCTGAAGCTGCATGGTGCCTTTATGTGCCCTGCTGTGCCTTTGCTTTATAACAAAGGTAGAAAGCAGAAACACTCAGAGGCAGCTCACAGGCAAGCTGACAGAAGTATAAACACATACAAAAAAAAGGTGGCTGTGAATGGGGGTTGGATGTAGTACAAACCACTGCTGTGATATAGTTATTAATAGTTCTACTTTCAAAGGGATATCAAATGTAATTAATATGATAGCAGGAACCAAAAAGCCACTTTTTAATACCATTTTCTGAAGAGCACAATCATTCAGGAAGACATTGTTAGAGGTCAGGAATTTTGACTAATTACCAATAACAGATTACTAGCTGATGTGAATAACTGAGTGCTTACGTGATGTTCAAAAAACCTAATGCCATACCTTTCTGAAGTCCTTAATGTGAAAATAACAGACAGCTCTATTATAGTATGCCAAAATGCAGGTTTTGCTGAGGTCAATAGTTTTTGAAAGATCTTCAATTGCAGCTTCAAACGTCTGCAAATGAAAAAACACTGTGTATAAATTATAACTCAGAGTTCATGGCACTACGCATTCTTCCTCAAATAAAAGCCTATTGTAAAGTTTTATTTCACAGTTTTACATTTTGTTCTTTGGTACTGGAAGACATCCAACCATTTCACAATGTCCTCTATGGACTGCTTGCTGCAGTCCTTACTGCAGTGGGAGCACTTCTTCAGAAGCACTATTTGTGCAAAGACTGAGCAAACCAGCATTCTTAGTGTTTTCTTACATCACACCCATATGCTACAATAACACATCAACCATACTACAATGAAACAATCAAACTATAACTACAATCAAACAATCAAACCATAACTACAATCAACCCATAATTTTACTAGCTTGCATTTTTTATATCTTAACGTAACATAGAAAGTACCTTTGGTGCAATTTGGACACTCCTGTCTATCTCTAGGTAAGAATCTATTCTGTGGAACTTGAGAGGAGAATCACCAGACAGATGCTCAGTAACTTCTCCAACCCGTCAATCAGTTTCAGTTACATAGACCAACCAGAAAGTTTTTTCAATGGGGAATGGAAAAGCCTAATAAAGTGTAATTCCTGGTTTCTGTCAGCAACACTTTTACCATTATTTCACCATTCTAAAGTGCAAAGTAAGATACATTAAGTTTTAAGGGAAAATGCAAAAGTAGAACAATAAAGCATTCTCACCTTATTTTGATACTTTAAAGTTTCACAGTAAAAGTAAGCTTGCACACTGTTAGGAATAATTTTGATTGCCTCATTGCAATTCAGAATTGCCTTGGAGTATCTACCTTTACTTCCATGGTAAGCAGCACAATTAATTTATATATGCCTGTAGAGATAAAACAGAATAATGACATGGCCCAAACCAGCTCTGTTTAGCATTATAAAACAAGGGTTAAATAGAAGGCAGAAATTACAAGTTTATAAAAACATACATCTTAAGAAGCTAATAATTTATTCAATGCTTGCTGGCAGATTGTGAGGCAATATACCCGTGAATGTAAAATTGGTTTTGAATGCATCCAGAGACACCTCACAGAAACAAACTATCATAAGTCTTTGTATTACCTGGAAATGTGATGGGCAAAGAGCAAGCGCTTGATTGGAATCTTGGATGCACTCACCTTGTCTGAGTTGCATTCTACACAGCCCTCGCTGACAAAAAGCATCAGGGTGACTTGAGTGTAGTCTGATAGCAATACTGAAAGCATCACAGGCCTAAAAGGATGAGAGCATCCGAGTTAAATATAGTCTGTCTGTTCAGTTGAAACCAGAGGATAACTGATTCTTTTCTACAGCTAGGTATGACTTATTTTTGCACTTAGAAGCCACCATGTACCTGCATTATTTTTTTATCCCTTTCCTCCCATTTACTGCTACATAAAAATTAGTAATGTTTAATACCAACTCAATAAATAATCTCATTTCTCTAGCAAGACTGCAAAAGTTTAATCAAATACATGTTCTTCTGTCTGTAAGAGCTGTGAATCAGGTCTGGCTGAGCTGATTTTCCCATAGCAGCCCTCCTGGTGCAGTGCCTTTGTGTTGGGAGTCAGAAGGGTGTTGATAACACCCATGTTGTGACTACCACCGAGCAGGGCTCACACAGCACCAAGGCTCTTCCTGTGAACCACTCTGAGAAATCAGGAATTTACTCTAAAACACAACCTCTTAACCATGACAACTAAAATGAGTTGGAGTGTGCTAATGACCACTGCCCTTGACTTAGTGTTCTGTCAAAGACAGCAGAACTAGTAATGTCCCGTTAGAACACCCAAGCCTAATGAAAAAAGCTGAATGGGTCAAGAGAATTTATCTGGTATAAGACCAGGGAGCATGAGTATAATTTTTGCAAAGTGCACATCTTTCCATTTAAAAAGAACCTGCAAACACAAGGCTAAGAGGAAACATAAAGACTTCATTTCAGACACAGATAGGTAGATCCAAGGTTTTATGAATCTACCTGTTGCTTGCTATTGCGACTGTACAAAAAGAGGCAGCTAATCAACACTGCCAATTTCAACAATTCTGCAGGCCTTAAATACTGGCGAACTGAAGGAGTCAGAGGAGTAACAGTGTTGGTTAAATCCTATGACATAAGAATATTCACAAAGTTTAAAAAATACCTGCAACTATACCTAATATATTCAGTTCACATACATGAATTAAACTTTTGCACTGCATTTTCTTAGACAAAAAATATTAGACATACTCCTGTATTATTTTATTTCAAAAAAAAGCAAAATTATGACACACAATGGATGCAAATCTACATAACTATCTTTTAACGGATCATGTTAAATGTTTTAAAACTAAAGTTGTCTAATTTATGCTGAACTATTAGTGCTACTGTTAAAAATTCTTACTCAGGTCTTATAATTTAAATGATGGGGTACTCTGAAGTTTTATTCATATCCTGGAACATTTCATAAAGTATTAAAAGAATACAGAAAGAAAAACATTGCCTTACTTGGCACATATAATGTAAGTATTTCTAACCTTAGTTTTCTTGGCTTTCATTCGTATTTTTCCTAAAATAACAAACATTGAAGGCTCAGATTGAGTTTCAGTAGCACTCTATGGCCTTATTGTGATTTTGACAAAATGACTGAAGGAGTGCTTGCTGAACAGGCTGACATGTAAAGGATTCTGGAAGGAAACCACCATGAAAACCAACAATCTCTTTTACTTCAACCTATATGTTTTCCAGCATAAAATACCTCTATATGTTATACAAACTTTAAAATGGTATTTAAGTATCTGGAGTATCAATGCTTATGTTAACATCCTTAAAAATATAAATGCAAACTCAATTCCTACAAAATGCTCAAGTTGAACAATTATCAATGAGTATCATTTGATTGCTGAGTATCTGCAAGTATTTACCTTCCTCTCCCCACATCTAAGAAGGCTTTGCTCTGTGGAAGCATCACCATATCCCTACTTTGGTTTGATATTCTTGTGCCCTGTGTATCCACTCTTGGTCACTGCCTGAGACAGGAAATTAATCTCATACAGTGTGGCCATTCATATGGCTTCACCAGGAGCTCCAGGACACACTGAAAGCTGCCATTTTATGCCCAGCACATAACAAGAAACTACTATGCTGCAAGTTTTTCACTCTTCAAACACATTGGGAAGGTTCAGTTTTAAAGCTATTTGATATTTTGTTTGGGAAGATTGCACCTAAGTACAGAACAGAATCCTTACTCAACATTCCTTTGAAGTAGTGTCCTGGTTTAAGTTAGAATAGAACAAATTCTGTTCAGTGATTTTACTTTTCATCTAAATCTCTTCTAAGTAACGGCACTTTCTGAAGTAAGAGGGGTTAATAGTGAGCATCTGTCATTTGTCTAGTGCCCAGCCCAGCCCTAACCTGTGACAGATTTATTGGCACCCAGTGTAGAAGATGTTTTAGTAGTGACCTTTGTTTCCATAGAAAAAAGTATAGCAAGACCCTTTCTTCATACCAGTCCTTAGTAATAAATATAAACATCAAGTGCTAACACTTCTATAAGCAGACACTGTCTGCAAAAATATGCTGTTAACTTCAGAAAGTGCACTTAGAAGAGACTTATCCGAAAAATAAAATCACTGACTAGAATTAGTTCTGTTCTAACTCAAACCAGGAGAAGTAGAAATCACCAATACTGAAAGGTAGAAATATAAAACAAGGACTCAACACATAAAGGAAAGTCTGAAATCACAGGTGACAGTACAGGCAATAGTGTACACATTACCTTTAAAGGCTTCAAAAGACATGCAAACAAAATAATCTAGATAATAAGCTCCTAAATTTTAGATGATTCACAGTAACTAACCTATTTGCTTGCCTGAACTTAATTTTTTTTTAACAATTCTTTAGTTACAGACTGTTGCCATAGTTCACAGCTATCTAGGAAAATTAATGTTATTTGGCATTACCTGCATCCATTTCTGCAAGTTGGTGAATACATAAACTTGCCAACTCATATTCCTTCAAATCCACTGATACTGTCCCCTGTAATTAAATATTTATTAGATGTAATTAGTAGAACTATTTCCAGGCATTTCTTTCAAAATGCAAATACATTTTCAGTTGCATAAAAAAGTGAAAAATGCCTTCCAATAAAAACATCCAGTTTTTCCTTTTTTTTTTTTTTCAAATCAGAAATAACTGTCAAATTTTAAACTTTTCCTCTCACATCACAGTACCAAGAAATTCTATCCTTACTCCTCTTCAGATTGTAGGAGTTACAAAAATACATTCTTTTGAGTCCACAGACAGTAATCCTTAAATCTCAGGAAGTACAACAGTAATCTTAATACCATTTCCAAAATCCACCACAAACTGATAGCTTACGGATACAATTTGTTTGTTTTCAAAAAAAGTCCGAAAATATTTTGCCTCTTCAGGTATCAGCATCAGTACAAGAGGTCATGCTAGCCAAAGCACACTCAGAAACAATGTGAGTAAATTCACACTTAAAACTGGGAAAATATAGTATTATTGACTGGAACATAAGTAATTCTCCTAATACACCCAAGGAATATATCCTAGCATTTCCTCCTTAGTTCTTATTGCTGTTTGAGGGAGGACAAAGCTTTATTGAGTAATTTACTTTTATCTTGGTAAAGGTCACTACTTCTCACTGGCCCAAAGATGGGCAAGAAGAATAGCTCAAATCTAAATTGGCAGGGACCAAATCCTCCAGTCTTTGCATTATGTAGATTCTATAGACAAATCAGTGAAGAACCAATCTGCTTAAGGAAAAAAAAAAAATTATTAATTTTTTCAAAGTCCAGACTTGTTTTTTTGTCATGGCACTTATTTACTTCTTTTTCCCCAGAAACTATATGTAACTCAAAGAGAAGAATTCTGTATATGAAGCAACGTTCCTTCCTGCAGTGTAACGATTACAATAGTTGGATGACACTATGCAGATACAGTTCTTCAGGTTTGAAAATACTATGAGAATACTACTTTTTTAAAAGCCCACTCAAAACAGATTTCAAAGAATATAAGAGTATCTACCAATAGAATTCCATTTATTTTAGGAGATACCTGTGAAGTTCTCAGCTAAACACTTCCCTACCTTACTATCCAAATTTGTGGTTTATTCGGATAAAGATTAATGGCTCGGTTCATATCTTTCAGAGCATTTTGTAAATTATTAACCTGCAATTTATAAAGAGAAATCAGCAATTTAATTGCTAATAAGAACAGAATTTGGAGACAATTGCTATTTCTGTAAATATGGTTCTACAGGATGTAATGCCCCCACAGTAACAACTCACAAGGCACATATGCCCTCTGTAAAGGAGCTCAACATGTTTTTAATAAAGCTCTGAAACTTTTACCCTACATAATTTCATACTGTCCCCACAGGGCAGATCCAAACTCCAGACAGTTTCTTTACTTCTCCAAAATCTGAAGAAAAATCTAGACTATTAGGAAGCAGATTAGCTCACGAGATCCACCTGCAAGCATGTCCTAATTAATCTTCACTGTTGTAATGAATTTACATTTATTTCTCAAGTGTCTGTGCTCCCATTCAGTGTGCTTCAAATGCTGAGGCAAAAGGAGATCATTACAGTGAAGATTCCAAGAAGTGATTCATCCAGCTGGGACAGCTGCTAACTTGAACTCTCATTAAAGAACAGCATTGATGGAATGTATGTACCAAGCTTTATTTAACTGCTTTACATGGAAATTTTTTAAAAAAAGGCAAAAAAATCCCTTCCCAAAGCCACCACCAAAAAAACCTACAAAAGCAACTTGAGCATTACTGGATGACCTCCAACACAAACTATCAGGCACAAGTGCTTAATGACAGTATAAAAAAAAAGGACATCAGTCTACTTAAGTGGATTGAGTTAAAAATTTCTTTTAGTTGTGGAAGAAAATGAAGAGTGTATAGAAATTTCTCAAAACTTTCTGAAAACAAACTAAGCACTGTGAGAAAACAGTTTCGTGTTTCAGAAGAATTCTGCCAGTAACATCTACCCAAATTAGGTCACACTGAATACTCCACTCCATATACTCCCAAAAGGGTCTCAAAAAACTGCTAGCAGAATCTATTCTCAAACCCCATGCAGAATTAGAATACATTCTGTTTCACTGTAAATTTAAATACTGAAAGTGTTTTCACTCCCATTTGTGGGGAAGAAGATTTGAGCTTCCAGAAAAATAAACACTCTGAAGAAAATTGTTTCAAAAAAAGTGTGTTTCAAAATGTGGAGGTTTATTTAGTTTCAAAAAAAAAATTGAAATATATTTTTTTCAATTATAAACTCAGATTAAATGCACACTGATGTAGAAAAGATAAAATGACATTTGAAATATTTTGTGTCTTTGTATGACATGCCAACAATTGCAATGTGTATAATGCTATTATGGTGACAAGGACTACTTGAAAAGTATAACTATAAGCAGGTTCTAACAACTGTGTATCACCAAAATGTAAGTATTAAAATACAACCACAAAGATAAATAGAGCTATACTAAGTGGCAAGCAGAAGCAAAAGGAAGGTGGTACCTTATGATAGGCTTGCACTCCACATACATGAGCTTAAATATTGAAAGGATCAATTTCAATGACATTAGCAAATTGTTGAATAGCTTCACGGTATTGATCAAGATGCAACAGCAGTATCAAACCAATATTTAAGTAAGCAAAGATGACAAAGCTAAAAACAGAATATTTTTTTCCCTTTGTTACTGCAAGAAATATGTCATTGTACTAACCACAACTTATACAGGCTTCATCTGCTTTTATGACATTTATCACAATTATTTTGTGATCACACTGACCTCAAGAATTATAATTGCCAACAGAGGAGACAGCTCATTAAAAAATGCCATTTCAGTAGCTTGTGATGTTTGGCTGCACACTAGAGGCTCTCTGATCACCAAAACCAGCACTCCAGATGTAAATTGTGAGGAAATGAGGATGAGTCTGTCATAGAAGCTGGTCTAGAAATCGAGCTAGCTGGTAATTTCATATATACTGAAATACACTGAGAAACACTGAATTCTTCAACATTAAAAACATACTGTAATTTTAGAAGACCACAGCCTACTCCTTTGTTTTCTGTCATTCCACTTGGATATCTGCAGTATCTTGTGCAGTTCATTCTTACAGACTGTTTCTAGGTAAAGTTTAAGACTTCCTGTAGCAGAGTCAAGACAAAAGAAGAGCTGAGGTGCCTTTAGATCTGCCACAGTTTGGGATGGAAGCCTTTGCTCAAGACAGGATTGATGGGGTGCCCAAGGCCAAACAAGAATACCTGTAGGTTTCAAGGTAATTATATTAAGGTAATTAATGAAGCTAACTGGTATGGGAGGCTTGTTGCTTATTGTAGGATCATTTGCATGGCAGGGCTGCTACATATATCATGTTTCCAAAGTAGTTTTAAGTGGTAGGAAGAAATGCACTTCAGAGAAGCCACATTAGTTTGTGATAAAGGACCACAAATAGCATTTTTTTTTTTTTTAAATTATTTCAGGGACACTTTTGCTAAAGAAAGCATTGTGCCATTTTCTTTTGGGGAAAAAAAAAAGAATTTCACTGTTTATCTGCATTGTGGACAGAAAGCCTCTGAAAAGACTAACAAAATTATATTGGCATTTAATAAGGACATCAGTTTCATCTTTGATCTGCCAAACCTGAATAATTTATTTGCCAAATTGTCACCTAAGGCAAAATAAAAGTTAATTTTTAAATATATTAATAGTTACTTTTATTATACTCTGAATACAGTAAATTAGGCAAAAGATACTAAAAGAAAACATTATAGTTTTGTGTGGTTTAAATCCCATCTATCTGGTAAATAACAGTTCTACATTCCTTTATTAGTACTTTTACACCCCCAGGTAATCAGAACATAAACAACATATATTAAAATATTCAATTTCAGTCACCTGTCCAAGGCTGGGCTATTTCCAAAGTCACAGATTGTAAGTGACCATTGATTGACACTGTTCTGAGTAAACAATCCCACGATGAAGAAAAGAACTGAAATTTTCCTGAGTGTCATTGATAAGTACTGTGGGAGGGGGAGAATAAAAATCAACTCTTGAGATATTCACATATATTTCAGTTAGTCCATGCAACTTATTTGCATATTACTTTTTGCTCTAATTTTCTTAGAATTTTACAAAATATCATAAATAAACCATAAAATATTAGATCATAACAAACTGTTCATTGTGGCACAAAATACCTTCAAGATGTATTTATAACCCTTAGTTACAATCACACTTTGTTAAAAGTGAAGCAGAAAAGCTTTGGAACCAGAGGCAAAATAACAAAAGAAAAACAACAGCAGCAAGAGCCAATGTCTAATAGCAAACAGTAGAAATTAAAAGGAGTAAACACTGAATGACAAACATACTTTTCAATATTTGCAATATGAAATATCTGTGTTATACTGCAATACAGTAATTACCGTTCAATGGTCCTTCTCTCTGAATGGTAAACATACACATCATTAAAAGAAACCAACAATACCAGAAACACTGAAGTCCTGCACAGCTCTTTTTGGATAAACCTGTCACAGTATGAAACCTCTGTAGCAGAATGCTACCTAGCAGGAAGGGTCTAGACAAGTCGCTGCTGCTAAGTCGTGTACCACATTTCTGTGCTGTTGCTGCGCCACGTATGCTCTTCCTCGATACAGCCTAAGAAGGAAGAAAGTTTCTCTTGAAATATCATTTCCCTTAGAAAATTATACCTACAGAATGAAGTCATAGTGTGAAGTCACAGACTATTATTCATAGTATTAACTGGTTGAGTCAACTTTAAATAGGAAGAGTTGTTCCATTGGTTTTGTCATGCAACCTTGAAGCAATTATTCATGAAAAAAATGTTGAAAAATAGAATAAACATTCAATTTTGTTTCTGAACTTAATAAAGTGAGTATGAAGGAACAAACTCTAGAATCTATACCATATAGGCAGATCGCTGTACTCATGTAAATCAGGTTTAATAGAATAGAACCTTATATCAGCTTTGGGCACAACAGAGTTGAATGGAATGCTGAGTTCTGTAGTCTACTGGTGCAGCAGTCTCTGTATAGGAAATACCAGATTTTGTTAAATCAGATTTAAAAGAAAAAATATAAAACTGCCCTTATTAAATCTTTCTGAAAATATCCACTCTGCTCTTCAGTAATTCTTTCAAAGAGACAAGTTTACAAAATCATATCCTACTATGTTACACTATTCCTTCCCTCAAATTCAGGAAGCTACAAAGATGAAGATAAAAGCTGAAGGTGAAAAAGTGTGAATAGACATCAAGTGGCTGTAAAATTAGTTTATCAACTCAAAATGTAACATATAAAACCTGTATATTTTTATTACTTAAGTTACCTTTCAGTTATTAAGCAGGTCTTATGCCATATCTCACTTTTAAGAAGACTTATCATGCAAAATAGATATTGTTCCTTTTTCAATCTAACACAGTAAAGTCAGTTCCTCAAGAATGTAAATCACATGCTTAACTCCACACAAACAGAAGGCACTGATACTAATCATACTCAGTAGGACTAGTCACAGAGCCTGCATAACAACACGTGAGCCCCAATGATCCTGAATTTGATTTCAGGAAGCCAAATGTAGTTTTACTTTGCTTCAAGATTTTATATCAGAGTTTTAAGAAACACCTGTAAATCACTTTAGTAGCACAGGAATGTAATGTCCTAAGAAAGCTTTGCATGATTCTGTGGTTCCCTGTGATGAAGGAGATGCACTGACAGGTGGAAGTTACACATACAGGAATCCTTCCTTGGCCATTTCTATTCAGTTTGGATAGGAATCAGTTCCAGAATAAGACATCAGAACTTAGGTGTCTGTTTGCAGATGCCTACAACATGTTAGGTGTGTGACTTTCCATTATGGTCAACGAAGATCTAGTCAATATAATCCAAGAGGATGAGAGCAATTCAGTTAATCCAAAAAAAAAACACTTACTGCCTGTTCAGCTGAACAGCTCTCTAGGCTTTATGGAAGAGTCTATATACTAAGTCTATCTCAAATCCACTGACTGTATTGATTTGAGACCTTGGTGATAACGGCTGCTCACACACCTACCTACCATGGAAGCTGACACCTAAAAAGCAGATGTCATAATCTGGTATTTAATATCTGCTTTTATTTTACATCTATTTTCAATAATCCAGAATAGAATAAAAAAAAAAAGAAAAAAAAATGAAAATAAAAGAATGTAAATATTTGCAGCAACTACATTAAAAATCAGTCATACTTTCTAGTAGGGAAATCATATAACTGTTTTTCTGTCTTTGCAAGTCAAACCTCAAAATTATCATTATAATCCAAAAATAAAGATGTTTCTCATTCATAATTCAAAATTGTCATGGAAATCATTAATTCATCATAATACTAAAACTAGAATCATCAAGGCAACCAGTGGAAATTAGGCATAGCACCATGCAATCCTTAAGGACATTCTTCACTTAGAGTATGTATTTAAATCCAGCTCTTTAGAGCAAAGCACACATGCACATGCTTAAGTCCAGCTGACACTCTATTTGCATTACTCTAGTGGAATCTGAGCACATGGTTCTGTGCTTTGTTAAATTAAGGTCTGTGGACTAATCCAAAGTCATTAAAGCAATACAAAGATTCCCCAATGAATATCACGGCCTAGAAGTATTATTCTAATTCTATTAGACATGTTTTTGGAAATCCATTTGCTTTATTATTGTTTAATGCATATTGAGTCTTTAACATATTAATATTCTTTTAATAATCCACTTAAAATTCAAATACTTCTGTTAAACTATGTATTCTACCTTGCCTGAGCATTTCTGGAGTCTTAGTTGATCACAGCTGTAAAATCCTGAATAGCTGTAGTCAAAACTAAACGGTTAAAGAAATGTATTCCATGTTTCATAAGTGCATGTGTTCTTTTTGGTTTATACTGAAAACACTGTAACAAAAAAAGTAGTACACAATGTTACTCTTCATTATTTCTAATGATTAAAGTCTTATTCGAGTGCAAAAATAATATATTCTTTTATTCTCAGATATCCCTTTTTATTCCTTTGTCCTGTAATGTCTATTGTCATTTCCATTAACTGTAAAATGAAATTAAAAAAGCAATCATGCAAGCTTATTAGTGGCTGATAATTTGTAGACATTCAGTAATGTCTTCAATTAGCTGGCAGGGGTAACAGGTATTAGTTATTTATTTCCATAGCACTGTTTTGGTTTGTTTAAAACATTGTTTATTTGAAAGGCTAGCTGTTCTCCAAGCTACTTACCAGACATATCCACATACCATTTACTTTTACTAAAGTTACACAAAGTTACTTCATTATTGTAACAATACAAAAAAAGTGCACTTACTTTGGCATAATCATCCATGGCCAACAACAATTGTTTTCCCTCAAAATACAACTAGGTTCTCCTAAAATAGATGTCATCATCTCTAGGGCTGCATTGTATTGCAGAGCTATAACTGATGATTGCCAATGCATTATCACCTGTAAATTTCAGCTATTTGCAAGTTCTTATCTGAAACAACAACACAAAATGTAAAAGGCACTATGTAGTAGCCCAAAACAGTAAGCGATCTCCTCCTTATGCAGTTATTAACCCAAGCAGTAGAAACAGAATAATAGATTCCAAAAGGTTGTGAAGTCCTATTTTAATCGGAGTAACAGAACTCAAATTTTAGAGCTGTAGCTGTGTGCCCCATGGTGGAGACAATGCAGCTGTAAATCTCTTGCTGGATTCACAGGTACTAAATATCTTTGTTTGCTGTAGAATTCTGTAGAAATGGCCCATCAAGTCATTTAGTGTAGGCCTGTTGATTACAAACAAATATAAAGAAATTTAGTTTAAATTGGCCTGCACAATATTTATCCCACTATACTGGGTCTGGTCAGAATATAGTTAACTGTCTTTATAACCATACTTATGGTGGTGTGTTTTGGATGTGTGACTGAAATCCACAGTGTAATCAGTGTTGATCAGAGAATGCTCTTGCTGAACACTTGCCCAGTACCAGGGCTTTATTTTGCCTGCCTTTTTTTCCTCACTCTACTCTCTCCCCAGTGAGTGAACTGGGGGTGGGCAAGAAGCTGGGAGGGGGCACAGCTAGGACAGCTGACTTAAGCAGGCCAAAGGGATATTCCATACCCTCTAAGGTCACGCTCAGCAACAGAAAAAATAGGGGTAATGGATGAAGGGGGTGAAGGGCATGTCTTTCAAGTCCATGTCCAATTAAAATTTCATTTGTTGCAATCTGTGGCCACTGCCTCCTGTTCTCCTGTGCATCTCTCATAAGAGTCTGATTCCATCTTCTCTGTTACCATCCATTACTGTAGCTGAGAACAGACTTCCCTCTTAGCCTTACCTTCCCCAGGCTAAGTAACTCATCTCCCACAGCCTTATAAAACTTGGGCTCTAGACCCCTGATCATCTTAATGGCTTTTCAAGGGACTCTCTCCATCTATCTCTCATATACCAGGGTTTCCAAAATTGCACAGAGTATTGGAGGTAGCATCGCAGTCTGGCAGAGGGGAATCACTTCATCTGACAAGCAGGGCCTGGTCTGTCAGCCAGGTGGTATCTTTCCCTTTTAAGATCCTCCTTCAGGGCTGACTGGCACACAGTAGCACACTGTCTCCATTACAGGATTGTTATCAGCTTTTCCCATCAATCAAAAAAAATACAGTACCCCTGGCCCAAAACAAGACTTTGGAAAAAAGTCATTTTTGCCCTTAGTCACAGCTCACATGTCTTAAGATTATATAAAGGATATCACATTTAAGTATCATTGATTTTCTTATGAATAAGCCTACTGAAAGATGCCTAAAAGCAGAAAAAAATAGAAAAGCTGAATGGAAAACTGGTCTGAAGGACCAGGCCTGAGCACCAGTGTAAGTAGAATGTGGACACATATGACTGTACATGGGGCTTTTTGCAGATCACACTTGAAATAGAAGTATTTAAGAAATATTTTTAAAATCATCAAGAATTTGTTTTTCTAATACTTGAATATTTTCTATGGTACTCCATATCTGGAGTGGGCAAATAATAAACAATTCTAAGTCATTCCATGATTCCAAACATTGACTGGAAAAATGTATAGATTGGTAGAGTGATAGATGAAAACAAAAGGTAAAAGGAAAACTACTTGTCTGATGTAATCTACAAAGTTTGTGGTTCAATGGAGATTAAGTCCAGCACAGTACTTTGGTTTCCTAAGAACTTAGAATTTCCCCCTTGTCTTTCAGAAGAAAGAAGTTTGACCATTTTATTCTCGCATTTACATTTGGATACAGTTTTTCTGTTCTTTGAATGAAGCAACACTAAATGTCCTAAAAACACCCAAGCATTATGGGGTTTTTTCTTTGCACTAAAAAATACATATTACTCCTAAGTAAATATTGCTCTGATATTAATTTATAGAAGTTCAGTTAATGCTGAAAAAGAAAAAACTTGTAATGAGATAATACAGCTACAAATCAAAATGGATTCTTTAAAAAGGCAATACACGTTAATTAACAAAAAACCCTTTAAGCACGTTCAGGGTTTGACTTAATTTCTTAATCACTGCATCTGATTTTCTAGGGTTTATTATTTTCTTTGATTTCTTTGTTTTCTTTCTTCTTGGGAAAACAGTGTATTTAATCCCAGCCTTTTGAGGTTGCTCCACAAGAACAATGTCATTCTCACTATCCTCTTGTCCAGTCAAAGTAGGAGTTTTTTCTACTGCTATGTCTGTCTGCATTGACTGGGGATCATCACAGATTTGATTCAATGGCTGCTTGGTAGGGAAGCTTTTCCTGATCTCTGTCTCAGCCTCTGGCTCAACTATCCATTGCTTCATAACCTTCAGTTCTTTCATGCTGGTTTTGAAATTAGCTGACATGTTTAACGTAGTTTCATCTTTGAAAGCAGTCATCTCTGGAGCTGAGACTGATCTTTTAATTAAACTTGTCTGTTAAAAAGAGGAAACTTAATTTAGTTAGGTATTCATTTGAAGTAAGATTTATATATCACATTTCTTTAGTTTTAATGGACTGGATTTTATTTTACAAAAAACTGTAAAGAAAAAAAAAGAGCAATGTGGGGACTACACTGTTGAAAAAAAAATTATAGTACTTAATGGGGAAAAAAGAGCTGCATACCTCAGGATATGTGTCAATGCAAAGAGATCTGAAACATTAATTCAAAGTTATTTGAAGATCATAAAGGGCTAAAAATCAATCCTTTCTAAAAAGTATCACAAGGAAGTTGAATTAAGTAACTCCAGTCGTTGTAGGAAAGTTAAATTTTAAAATCAAAAATGTATGTCACTGGTGATGATATTTACAAAAAAAAGATGAACTGAAATGTATTTGTGAACTCAGAGGAAAAGACAGGAGGATTCGGTATAATGTTTGTATAATGATACAACTGTATCATATAGAAACACAGTTAATATGTGAATGAAATTATGTACCTTCATACTTCATGCTCCCATCCCTAAATCACCTGATAAAATAAAACCCAAAAGAATAACTGTCACCCTCTGGTGTTCAACTCCTAATTGAACAAGTACTTTCTGCAATAAGAACTGCATTGTTTCTCAGTCTTTTTATTAATTACAGGTCACTAACTTGCACTACAAGACAAGCCATAAGAAATCTTTGTCAAATAAATTAAAACGTTCACTGCCTGAAATTTACAGAGGGAAACAGTAATTTTTTTTTTTTTTAAAAAAAAGCATTGAATAAGTTGGAATAATCTTCAATTAGACTAAAAGAAGCACTTTTCCAATGCTTGGTACAAGCATTTGTTAAGAATTATTTAATTTATACTTTTATTAGACACTGCATCAGGCTTCAGTTTATTTTAATAATAATTTAAAGCACTCCATTTGAGTAACTAAATATTTTTGTGGTAATGCATTATAACCTGTGAAGTTTTGAAAAGATTAAGAAAAAAATCTCAATGTCACAAGTGGGCTGCTTTTCTTTAGGAAAATTGTATTTTTAAAAGAATCTAAGCTTCATACTGATTTATTAAAAAGCTGAAACTGATGTAAAGCTATCATTTATCACTACATGCATCTATTATTAGCTGTCATCTATCACCAAATCAAATCATTTGACTGCAAATTGCTTAAATATTGAATTGTCACTTGATAAAGTCTTTTAGTAACTACATATAGTTTTGCTAAAGGATTGCTAGCTGAATTCAATAAGGCTACTTAATGTTTGAATATGAAACTAGTATTTTTTTAAAAATCAAGCATCAATGCTTAGTTTAAATTGCAAATTTGCTGTTTAATTTCTTTACCATTGCTTCCAAACTGCTGCTGTGCCTCATGTCTGTCTTTAAAATAACATGGTCACAACATTTTAAGTAGGTCTTTATGGACTACAAAGTGTTAAATGAGTACACAGTCCTTAAATTCATATTAAAAATCAATTTTCTTAATAAAATATTGTTAATATAATGCTATCGAGATCATCTTTGCACACGTGTGAAATCTGCATGGTTTATTGCTGTTTATGTATTTTGTGAAGCAGGCAACAGTTTCAATAGCCATAAAATCACACAGCACTTCACAGATTGGAAACCTGACATTATGTGTCTGAAATCCACGATCCTGATACTGCAAATCTTTACTCAGATATGTTGTTCCACTCATTTCAGGTTAGCTAGAGTACAGACTGCTCACACTTATCTCTATCCAAACACCTGTAAAGTTAACAGTTGTTATTGCAGAGCTATATTCTCCTATTTATAACGTAACCAATCCACTAGAAAAAGACCTTTCAGACTCTCACTTTTGCATGTGATAGGAAAATACCAAGTTCAATTCAGTTCAGTAGAATGAATTTCTTCCCTAAAATTACAGTTTAGGAACAAGTAAAATATAATAACATTTTTAATTATAATTACAATAATTAATTATAATAACAATAATTATATATTAACAAGTAAATATATAATAATATCTCTGAGCTCTCACTGTCAGAAAAAATCGGGCAAGAATTGGCATTTTCCCAGTGTGCAGAAAATGCTGTTGCCAGAGGTCAATGTTCCAACAGGAGACAGAGGAGTCCTGTAAAATATACTTTATTCGAATAAAGGGAGAGTCCACGGGAATATCCCAGTGGGGTCTCTCAGTTTGGCTGGGGGACGCAGCCCCCTTTTTATCCTGATTTCCTGGCCGCAAGTTTCCCTCCTCCTTTCCCCATTGGCTGAGGTACTCAGAGTGTACAGACTGCCTGGTACGCCTTCCACAGAACCCTATCCCCCTCAACATGTACCCCACTTTACATCATACATGGTATGTTTCATTAACTTCATTTTATGCCTCCCCTGGGAGGAGAAGTTACTATGTATAAGTTCATTAAGCATGC